GGGAAAGAGGCTGGAGGGTGTTAGCTCTGGCGTTGTCCACAAGAGGGCGTGGCACTGAATCTGGCACTGCCATACAGTGTTAAACAGGGAGCCTGTTCATGAAAAAGGGAGAGAGAGGGGGAGAGGAGTGTGAGGAGTTATAGGTTCAGTGTAATTTACATGTCAACCATATCTCATAGCAACAGCCTCCTGCTCTGACACTCATTCCTAAATCCACCCATTCTACTCAGAACTGAATAAAGTTTTCAGTCCTGTCGGAGGAGAAACTTTTACTGGACACACTGCTCATGTTCGGGGTTTCCAGATTTTGTAAAAGAGAAAAATTGTATTGAGATTTCTTACAAAATTCTGAAGTTAAAATGAAATATGATGTTTAGCCTTGAACTTAATAATGTTGCATTGTCCTTGTAAGGTATTTTGAGAACATAAAAAGACAGAACAAAAAGTAACTTTGACCCTACTGGTCCAGTGTCTTCAAAGACCTGAACTCCATGTTGTAAACAGACAGATTTCCTCTTTAATTCTCAGATAACTGTCACCAAGACTGTAACCAGACCAGAACCATCTGGGTCTGTGTTCTCTCCAACACACACTTTGTCTCATTCAAACATATATTAAACATAAACAGACTCACATACACACACACACATATATGTGCGGGCCAAACCAGGGTTCTGCACTCCCTCTGTCCCTTTGCGTTTTAGTTTCAAATGCTCAGCGAATACCCATGTGGTGGGATCGGGTTACACAAGGGTTTAAAATATCCCAAATAAAGGCGAGGGGAAAACTGAGACGGAGAAAAAGGGCCTGTTTCCTGGGGTGAAATCCTCCAGTTGGCTGCTGATTCTGTCAGAGAGGGAGTTGTCTTTTTTTTCTCCACATATGAGAGTTTTAGTAGCAGAGACAATAGACCAGGACAGAAATGTTCTGCTCCGAGGTCGGCCCAGCAGAGCGGTGTCCGGCTAAAGTCGTTCACATGCGGCTCTCAGCTCTTATTACACACAACACCGGGCCATAAACTCGTCTGCACGCCACAAGCGGCTCGCTGTGATTTCATATGTATTCGGTTGCTAAGGGGACACAGGAAAACACAGCAAAATGACAAAGAGTCAACTAGAAGCTCGTTAAGTGAAAGCTTATCTGGTAACACTGGCTGCAGGAGGACGGTTTATGTTGATGTCTCTCAACAAGGCTGGATCTCATCATGTGAAGACACCAGAGAGCCGACCGCTTCGGCTGTGATACTGAACAGTAGAATTAAGTGTCAAACAAAGGCACTGTACTTCAACAACAGTCGCTAATACGACGATGTCTGTGACACTCAGCTTCAGATCGATTTCTACAATTATTTCCTACTTAAAACGACTGATGCGACTGTTGGTGTGACTGAAAACACTGAAGTAAGAAAAAAAGACTCAAGTTGTTAGGACAATCTGTTTCTCCTTCCTGCTCCGTCTGCTGCTGCTGGGTGGAGTTGGTCAGTGTCATCACACTGACCTGTGTCTGTCATTAGTCTCACTGGTGTCACCTGGTGCCCTAGGTTTATATACACACCTCCCTCTCTCTCTTACTCTGTCTTTTTGGGATCATTTTTCATTGTTGGAAAAGTCCAGGTCCATGTTAATAAACCTGCTGCACCTGAACAGTCTCCCTGTGCTGCATTTAAGGCCCTGCCTGTGTCTTGTTATGTCTGCACACATCAAACTAAACAAGAATATTTACCAAACAACTACAATGTTACCAAAACTAATACCAAGGCCAGTGTTAACTAAACAATGAGCAAAAAGTTGGCAGATGCAGCTACAAGTTATCAAAACCATGGGAAACTATCAGAAAAGCTAAATGTTAGCAAGACATTTGCTAAAGGAGAAAATAGTTAGCCTGAAAATAGTTAGCCTGAAAATTTAGGCTAACAAAAATAAAAAAATAACAGGATGAACTGTGTTGGTCCTGGAGCCTGACTTTGGACACACATGGTTTATGTTCTCCTTTCTCAGCGACAGGTCACTGTTTTTGAACACAATCATTAAGGTGACCGCTGGCCTTTGCAGGCCTGAGCAGAATATGAAGAGCAGAGCCTGTCAGGTGAAAGAGGAGCTGTGGCTGAACTCTCAGCAGATCACATTCACTGCACAAAGTAAAATGGTAACATGACCTCAGTATGGCATGACACCAACAGGGCTGGGATGAAGGGTGGCGTTACTGCAAGCAGTGAGAACTGTTATATCAA